ACCGAACGTGTGACCCCACGGGGTCGACCCCACCGATGGGTTCCTCTTCGAGCGAGGAATCCATTGGTGGGGTCACACGTTCGGTTCGAGTCCTGTTAAGTAACCTGAGCTCAAAATGCGTCTAGCATTTTTGCCGCCCCCACCGGTCTTCTGGCACACTGTGCGACTGGGCCGACGGGATGCGACGGGATGGTGGATGCGGTTTCTGGACCGGGCCTTTCCTGGGCCTTGGCCTCGGCAGACTTGGACGAATTTGTTGCTTGGGAGTAAATAACTACAACGCCGGCACAATGGTGTCGGGGAAATGTCGCGGAAACCCTTTTTCAGTCCTTTCCGCGCCGAGAATTAAATGTGATGAACGGAGCCGCGGACAAAGCGGCACTGCGGGCAGGGCGACAGGGTCCAGGCCGGCCAGGCAGGCCAGGCAGGCCAGGCAGGCCAGAGCCACAGCGGCCGCGCCGCGTCCTCGGCCGCAGAAGGCAACGCGGCGCAGTTTGGAAATTAACTTGGGAATGTAATTTAATGCGAAACAAACCCTGGCTCGGCGGCGGCTTCGGGCCCTTCGGGGCAGAGGCGGGCTCGTCTCCCCGCGTGCAGGCCATCAAGGCCTTCAAGCAGGCATCAACATCGCCGCCCCCAGGCGAGATAACCTGGCGCGCCGAAAGGGCCACGCGGATATGCCACCTGCTGGAAAGGGGAAGCGTTTTTTCATTAAGCTCACGCGGCTGTGAAATTCCCACTTAAAAAGGGAAGGCCTGCAGCCCATCGCGTTTGCACCTGGCCGTGTCCTGTGTACAGTCCTCTTTTTTTGTCACCGCTTTTACTGAATGCAGGACCGTATGTGGCGCCACACATCAAACGCTATCGCTGGGTATTCCCTGAGCGACGTCCATGTGTCTCTGTCGCGGCCGCGCTACTACGTGTTGGACGCACCCTGGAATATAAACAGAACCGCAGTAACTCTTGTGTCGCATCACTTGTTGGCCAGGACGTTTTCTGTCCTTCGTTTGATGCACGGCGTGCCAAAACCTTCGTACCTGTACACTCTCTCAAACATTCTTTTCCCTTTTGGATTTTTTAAAATTAGATTTTTACTTTTTAGTTAGTTTTTCTTTTGTAAAAAATGAAAGCCGTCTGGTTCTGAAGCCGTCTCACATCCCACGTGAAATTTGATTTCCCTACAGGGGCCTATTCCGGGAAAATCGAAAGAGCGGAAGCTTGCCAGTGGAGCGTCACGGCCAGGGTATTCCTCTTCATTTATTTTTAGTTGCTCTTTTTCGCTAAAAGAAGAAAAAGAGGCTGATCGCTGGCGTGCCTTATTTAGACCCCACGTGGGGGACTCGCTCTGGACCCGCTGCAGACAGGCCGCCCCTGCCGGCTAGAGCCGACCGGTGTGAAAATGGAAAAAAAGACGTGGAGTCTTTGATGAAAGTGGCGGATGCTTTGCATACCTGCGCACTGCAGCGGAAGCCTACGCCTTCGGTTCGGTGACGTGCAAGGCATCGGCTTTCTTTTTTTTTTTCCGCAGAGCAGAATTTTTTATTTGGTCGGGGCCAGGTTCGCCGTGAAGAAAAGCCACACATGGATCGGGAGTGCTGCACGGGGCCACGGGGCTAAGGGAATCCGCTTTCTTGTTTGAGTTTGAGCCCCTGCCCCGCCCCACCCGCCCCGCCCCGCCCCGCCCCGAATGGTTTGTTCCCATTTCGCCTTCAAAGAAAGTACCTCGCGGCGGGTCTCATTCCGGTTGCGTCATTGCCAGTGACTTCCGATAAAGATTACGCAAGTTCCACGTCGAGATTCTCGTGCATATTTATTTCTTCCCTCCTTGACAAATTCCTAATTTTGGCGCAGTTTGCGTGTCGAGATGCGCCCCTTCGGTAACCCTGCCTCACTCGCGAGGCGACGACGCCCCTTATCACAGGTTATCACCTCAGCGCGCGCCGCGCAGTCGGTACGGCCGGCTGACTCTCAACAACAGAGCTTCCGTCGCTCTGTCTCTCTCGCACTCGCGGGCCGCTAGGTCCTCCCGCGGGGGGCGCGAGGGAGATAGCAGATGAGCCTGCAGCAGCGTGGGCCCTGCGGGGTAATCTCTGGAATTATTCGTCGAGTTTGTGTCGCCTCGCGCCGTTCGGCCGATGCGCCGCGCCACGCCGACGGGATAATCCACCCGCCCCGCCCCGCCCCGGCCGGCTCGACTAATTCAAACTGAATTCGTTAATTCGCTTCGGCCGCGGATCCCAAGGCTGAAAAAGTGAATCGTTGCGGTGTGACCGACTTTGCTGAGGAGGCGGGAAAGAAGACCGGAAGTAGACCGGAAAGTCTGGTGGCGACAGTTCACCGTATTATGGTGAAACCTGGGTAGGTAAAACTGACTTTGTACCTTGACCACCTCCGCCTCATAGCTCTTATTGTGCCCAAGACATTTCGTATGTATTTCGTACCAAATTTTCACCATCGGAAGTAGACCGGATGTAAACCGGAATTGGACCGGAAGTAAACCGGAATTGGACCGGAAGTGGGGCGCCGCGCGGGGCTCATTAGGCTGGCTCATCCCGACCGCGCAAACGCGCGGATCGGCGCGGAGCGGACGGACCTCGAGGGACTCGCTTTCTTCGTACTGTGCCAGACTCAAGGATTCCCAGCGCAATTTCACCATCGCTCTATCTCTCTCTCGCTCGTGGGGCGCTGCGTAGGTGCGAGTGGGACGGAGCGACGAAAGCGGACTCTCGGATGTGCTGCTTGCCGACTCTCGCGCGCCGCAGCGCGCTCTGCACGCTGTGGCCACCAAGAAGGCCATGGCCGTGGCCTGGGCCAGGAGGACGTCGCGGGGGCTGGCTCGGCTCGCGTTGGTTGTCCTGCACGGCAGCGTCGGCACGCCCAGCCTGATGATCGCGGTTGTAATTCAATTTGGCAGTTCACCGGAGCGGGCCGCCGCGCCTCCGCCTGGCACACTGGTGGCTTGCTTGGGCTGCTCCTGCTTAGCGCGTCTCAGAATACTCGGCACACACGCGGGAAGGACTCCCCTCCCCGCCGCGGCGAAAAGGGGCCGCCGTTTGGAATTTGGGGCGACACCTGCGGTCTGGGGGGGCTCGTTGCTCATTCCGAGCGGAGCCCCTGTCTCTCTCGCGCCCTGCCGGGACGCGCCGTGAGTGCGAGAGAGACCGCGGCTCTGTTCGGGGTCAGCCTGAAGATGTGATGGATGGCCGTCGGCGGGGTGATGCCTCGCGTCGTCGCCGTGCCCTGCAGGACGCGGTGGCGGTGTGCGGCCGACCGTGCCGTCAAGCCGTCCGCTCGGTCCGCTTCGTCCTCCGCTTCGTCCGGTCCGGTCGGCCGGAGGGTTTACTGGCTGCGCGTCGCTGCCCCGGCCCGGCGGACCTTGCCGCCGACGGTCCTTGAGGTGGGTTGTGCTTCTCCTCCGCTTGGCGGCTTGAAAGGGGACGGCGCCTCTCGCTCCAGAGGACCTCGTTTCTTCAGCGCCTGTCCCTTTTTTCCGCCCTTCACATGTCCTGCTGCAGGAGCAGGGCCCTTGAGCGCCAAGCAGGCCGTCGCAGCGTGACCTTGAGAATGCGGAGCGCGGATTTGTTCGAACGGGACGGGGAACAGGATCAGGAACCGCCATTGTAGCCGCGGAAGAGACACTCACGGGTGCAGGATTCATAATGAGAGAGAGAGAGAGAGAGAGAGAGAGAGAGAGAGAGAGAGAGAGAGAGAGAGAGAGAGAGAGAGAGAGAGAGAGAGAGGACCATTGTGCCTGGCGAGGTGAGGCCGGTGAGGCTATTCTGGGACACGACGCCTGCCAATGCCGCTCCGTTATGGGGCGCCTCCGCCACCAGCCTGTCCTTAGCTCCCCGTCTGCCTCCTGGCCACGCACCTGCCCGGGCAGGCCGTGTGAGTGGGCGTGCCTTCTCAAGCACCAGCTGTCCTTAGCCCCGTCTCGGCTTGTCCTGTGTCCGGGGCCGCACACCTCGGCCCGAGGGCAGGCGGGGCGCCGCCCGTCCAGCGTGGAGAGATGGGAGGGTGCTCAAGAGGAATTTCTAGGCGCGCCAAGTACACCGGATACGAGGAACGGCAAAGTGGCGCTGGATGTGGCAGAACTGCGTGGGCGGAGTGGACGAACCGTACGAAGCCTATGGGCCTGCGGAGCGACCCGACCGGAACCAGCGAGAGAGGGAGGGTGGCCCGAGGAGATTTTTAGGCGGCGCCAAGTATCGCCGTGATTACGAGGAGGGTCGGCCGAACGGGCTGGCACCACTCAAGTCCGCTCAATGCCGTCGGGCTGGAGTGTGACCAACACGTACCAGAACCGCCTTGGCCTGCCTGAAGCAGCCAGGAGCCGGCAACCAGCAGCCAGAGCAGCTGCCAAGCGCCGCTTTTATAGGCCGGAAGCAGCCAGTCCCGGCCAGCAAGGCGCAGGCCGCCAGCAGCCGCAAGCGGCCACCAAGCAGCACAGCCGCCAAGTCAGCCGGCTAGAGGCGCCAGCCCAGCCTTAACAGCCAGCCAAGCAGCCAGCCAAGCAGCCAGCCAAGCAGCCAGCCAAGCAGCCAGCCAAGCAGCCAGCCAAGCAGCCAGCCAAGCAGCCAGCCAAGCAGCCAGCCAAGCAGCCAGCCAAGCAGCCAGCCAAGCAGCCAGCCAAGCAGCCAGCCAGCCACAGCAGCCAGTCAGCCAGCCGCCCCGCGCGAAACGCGATACTGAGCGGCCATACGTCCCAGCCAGCCCGGCATGCCGCGCCACCGCAGTCTTGGCTGTAAAAGCGAATAGTCTGTTGAAGGAGGGTGTGCCCCGCGTGCGGCGTCGGAAGGACAGTCCTCTTTATTGCACACTGCAAACAGGAAACGTTTTTGGCTATTCATTTTATTCATGAAGAGAACAAATCTTTTTAAGTTATAGACGCAACTGGATAACTAATTAATTTTCTCAACTTCCTCTCATCTTTGTTTTATTTTTTGTGCATTAATTTTCTCAACCGACTTTTAAAAATATTTTTTTCTTCTTTTGTGCAGGACGAGAAGAACCAGATCCTGACGACGAACTGCTGGCTGACGCAGATCTGGAAGGACCACCACCTCCGGTGGAACTCGTCCGAGTACAACGGCATCAACGTGGTGCGGATCCCCTACACGCGCGTCTGGAAGCCGGATATCATCCTGTACAACAAGTGAGTCGCTCTGGCTGAGCGTGTGTGTGTGAGTGCGTGTGTGCGTGTGTGTGTGTGTGTGTGTGTGTGTGAGTGTGTGTTGGTGTCTGTGTGTGTGCGGCTGGATCGCCTACTCGCGGGTCTGGGAAGGCAGACATCATCCTGTAGTACAACAAGTGCGTCGCCCTGGCTGTGCGTGTGTTTGCACGCGTCGTGTCTGTGTGTGCGTGCGCCCCTCCGAGGTCGCGTTGCCCTTGAGTGGAGTCGCGCTGATGAAGCGGCAGGAGGGATTCTGCCGACGCACGCACCTCGATGGAGTTTTAAACGGTTTAACGAGAGGGCTGGGCGGCCTGGGCGCTCGGATGCGGGAGGGGGAGAGGTTTATAAAGTGACCGTGGGAAAGGACGCGTCCTCGTTACTGCCAATGTGTCGCGGCTCGTCGGCATAGCGCCACAGCGTGTCAGCAGACTGTCAGCGCGGCCGCCACGGTCGCGGGGAAAAAGCGGCAGGGTGTCATTAACCCGTTCGTTCGTTATTTCATTGCGCCGGGAGATTTAGTCGCGTCGACCCATAAACTTTGCACCCCACTCTGCACCATGTTTCTCTTTTTTTTTTTGTCAGTGTGGTGATGGTGGTAGCGGTGCTATAGCTGCGCGCGCGGCGACCGTGGAGGCTTGATCATTATGAAAAGGGCCTTAGCGCTGCTGCTGCGAGCGCGGGGGCGCGCCGGGTAGCCGCGGGCCACGGGCAGGGGCGTGCAGAATAATTCACTGAGGCAGCGCGGCGGGGCGTGGCGCGGCGTGGCGCGGCGTGGTAACGCAGTTGCACCGCCCTGTAACGCATTGCGCAGCCTGCGCGGCGGCGAAAGCGTTTTAGCTGTCGCCGTCGACGTGTGTGTGTGGTGTGTGTGTGTGTGTGTGTGTGTGTGTGTGTGTGTGTGTGTGTGTGTGTGTGGATGAGTGTGAGTGCTGCGGCGGGACAAAACACGCGGCACACTTCACCACTGCTGCCACCGCCGCCACCCCATCGCCTGCAACCCCCCCCCCCCTCTTCCTCCCCGCGCGCGTCCGCCGATGCATGTGATGCGGTTAGACTGACACGGTGCATTCGCGGGGAGGGTAATAAAATTGGATCTGCCATTTTTGTCGTCACCCCGGCTGTATGCTGGCGCTGCGACGCTCGCGCACTTTGCCGTTGCGGGCCGCGGGCCGCGGGCAGGCCTGCCGGCGTGGCGCAATCACGCGCTCCACCGTCAAATTGGCTTTCGTGCGCGCGGTCGCGCACCACGCGTTTGTTCGTCACTCGCGGCGGCCTCTGACGTGGGCCGTCGCCGTCAGCACGTCTCCCGGCGGTGGCTTTGTGACAGTGTACAGCCCGCCGCGCCCCACCGCGCCGCGCCGCGCCGCCGGGACTCCCGAAGGGGATTGCACGGCGAGCCGCGACACTTTAAACTTTCACTCAAACTTTCGATGGTTTCTGGCGCTCGTCAAAACCGTCCGCCGCCCCGAAGGCTCGAAAGCCCGCGGGCCCGAAGACCCGCGCCGAAGGGCCGGAGACGGCGGCGGGGTGTTGCTCGGAGCCCTCCTCCCCGCCCTCGGGCCCGTCTAGTCCTTTGGGCGGTCTTTACGGCCTGGGGGTCATTCACCTGGAGACGTAAAGCTTCTTTTTCATTAATTGTTTATGCCGGCGCGTTATGTGCCATTACCCTGCCCGGGGTGCGGCCCGGCCTGCCCCCGCGGCCCCCGCAGCCTCGGCCAGCTGCCGCGAGATTGACCGCGGAGCAGCAGCGGCAGCGCCGGCCGGGCGTGGGCAGCGCGGCGCCGCTTAGTTTACGCGACGGGAAAGGCCAGAGGGAAAGGCAAAAGGGCTCGCCAGCCCCCCTCCCTCGCCACCATGTGCACCGCGCTGTCGGAAAGTGGAAAGCTCCCCGCGGCCTTTCCCGCTTGTTTGTTTTTCCGATCCGTAATTGTGGCGGCAGTAAAGATGATGTTGTTGGAGCGGGGCGCTGAGCCGGCCTGGCCTCGCCTCGCCTGCCCTGGCTGTCCAGCGCCTAATCCTCGCCCCGCGAGGCGGCCCGAGGCGCCCCGAGGCCGGGCAGTGCCTCGCCCTTGTCCGCCATCGGCGCGCTGTTTGCCCCGCTTTCGTTTGTACTGTGTCGCAGAACGTGTGCCGATATGGCCGGGAGGGAAAGGGGAGGGGGAGGGAGGGGGAGTCGAGTGCCCGATACGGGTTGTCACGGCGCGGGCACGGCGCGGGCCGCGCGGGCACGGTTCGGGTGTGTCTGCTCGGAGCAGGGACATAAATTAGACCGCTGCAACCTGCGCGGCAACATGCCATACCTCGCGAGCGGCCGCGCTGCGCGTTCCGCGTTCCGCCAGCCAGAGTCCCTGGCGCCCCTCGAGTCCCTGGAGGCCCTGGAGTCGCCGGAACAGCGCGGCGCACTTATTGGCGTCTTTCTTTCGCGGCCCCCTGCAGCACCGCCACACCGCCAACACCGGCCAGCAACACGCCACCCCCACCCCGCGGGCCAGCCGGCACTCCCAACTAGCCGCGCTGTATCTTGTTGTTCCAGCGGCTAGGTGCGAACGCATTGTAGCCCGACTCGGGCTGCGCAGCATTGCTCCATCCACCGTAATCTGCAGCGAGTCCCCCCCCTCCCCCACTCCGGCGTCAGCGCGGCAGCTTCACGTGCAGGCCCTGCAGCAGCCCGCCGAGGCCGCCGCGGCGGTGACGGCACTCCGCGGAGTCGGGGCTCATCAGATGGGCGGGGTGTCTGGCAGGGCGCGTGGCGGGGCAGCCTTCGGGGGCCTCGGGGGCGGCGCCGTTCGAAGTGAGTTACCGACGGCATCGCTTCGCGGCCTCACGACCGCCCGGGCGGTATTTCAGCCCTTTAACGCTGTGCTTGCAAAGACTCGCGGGTAGTTTTCTTCAAAAAAAAAAAAGAGAAAAAACAGCATAACGGAATAAAGAGCTATTCCATCGATATACTGTACGCGCTTCGCGAGTGATGCAAGCGCTGCGGGGGCGGGCCGAACGCGGTCGAGAGCTCGACGACGGCCAGCCCTGGGCGAAGACGCACCCGCCAAAGTTGCGGCGGGGAACACTACACTGTGGGCGGGGAACGCGGAGGCTGGCGTAGCGAGCACCAGCAGAAAGGTCGCGGGTTCGAATACCCGCCGCGGCATCGGGCTCATTTTTCCTAGTGTCGATACGCGGCGTACCTTTCTGCTTAATGCTGCGGGCACTCTCGCCCCGCGCCGCCCCGCGCCGCCACGCCACGCCACGCCCCTCCTCACCTCCCAGCGCCTCCACCAAGTCCCCCTCCTTGTTCTCCGGTCCCCGGGATTTGCACTGGCGCAACGCCTTAATGGAATTTTACGGGCGGTGCACTTGGAGAGTATAAAAGACGCGGCCAATACCGCGCGGAGTGTGGCCCGGTCGGGCCCGCTCCTCGCACCGGCAGCGAGCGCGTCTTGGCCGAGCGAGAGAGAGATATTGTGTGTGCGTGTGTGTGTGTGTGTGCGTCCTCGTCAACTCGGGTAGGTGGCGCGGCGAAAAGAAGCAACCGAGTCCATTCACCGTGTGCGCTTCGATATCCGGCAGGAAATCCGCATCAGTCCCTCGGCCCCCCTCCTCCGACGCCGCCCTATCGCTGGCGCTCTCTGGCCGCCCCGCCCCGCCCTCCCCGCCGAGCCCCGGAGAGCCCCCAAGAGTCCCTCGTCCCCGTGCCGGCGACGCGCGTGTACGTCGGGCTGCCTACCCGGCGGTCCGCGGGCGGCGGCGCGGTGGCCGTGCCGCTCCGTGGAGGCAGGCCCGGCGGGGAGGGGAGGGGAAGGGAAGGGTCAAGGCGAGCTTATTTGCTGCCCTCCTCCGCGTGAGGAGCAGGAGGCCTCTTTGCGGTCCGTCACCCGCAGTGTCGCCCCAAAAATAAAAACAAATTTGAAGCAGCTTCTTCTTCCTCTTTTGTTTTTTGCTCGGAGGATTAGTGGGCGACTATAAACTGGGTCGTGGAGCGGGGCGTGGCCGGCCGTGTGGGGCCGAACACGGCGTGGTGTGTGTGTGTGTGTGTGTGTGTGTGTGTGTGTGTGTGTGTGCCCACAATGCACTGCAAACGGCCCGATTAACGCCAGCGCCAGCCGAAAGTGCATACGGCGTGCACTACGCGCGGCCAAACACCAACACGGGACACGGGATGTGCTGGCGTGCGTGCGAGCGCGCGTGGGTGTGTGTGTGAGCGCGCCCGCGAGTGTGTGCGAGTGCGCGGCAACACTTGGCTTCTCATCAGGGCGGGTAAGAAGGGCGATTTATCAACATCATGCGTGCCGTGCTCGCCGTACAGCGTCGCGGGCAATGCATTATGGGACGCGAGGCATTTTTTCAACTTGTTCTATTTTTTTTGTTTTTGTTTTTGCAGGCTGGCTTGTTCCGGTTTTCGCAGCGATTGTGGTCCCCGCGTCCTCGTCTCTCGGGCGACCGCGCTCTTTCTCTCTCCCTCTCTCTCTTTCGCCGTTTCTTTGCAACACGTGTTTTAATGGGACGAGGCTGGATTTGGTCCGTCATATCAGCACAATAGCGAAATTACAGAAATATCTTTTGTTTCAAAGCGCGTTTTAAACGACAAATTACTTTTGGAGAAGTGACTTTTAAAAAATGACTCTGTCCAGGATTGAACAGCGCGGTTCCACCACACTCTGGTCGCATTCAGGGATTTGCTTGCTTCTCGGTCGCTGTGTCGCTCGTCGCCCCGCTTTGACTCCGCGCCTTTGTTGCCGTCGCCGGGCCTGGCTTCCCCACGCGCGGTCGCGCCCCGCCCCGCCCGCGCCCCGCCCCGCCCCGCCCCGCCCCGCCCCGCCCCGCCCCGCCCGGTTTAATGAGACATTGATGATAAGTAGTGCCGCATTGTGAGGTTTGACTCCCAGCCCTTGGTGCACCCTGATTGTCCCCCCGACAGTGCCGGCACGACGCGACCCCTTTCGGGGCCGCGGAAAAAGGCGGCGCGGACGGACGGGCAGGCGGGCAGGGACTGCGGCGCTGCGGTGCTGCGGCTGTAAACTGTGAAACCCAGAGGCAGATGTATCGCCCGATATCTGGCGGCATTGGCTGCCAATGGGCGACTTTTGGGACGCGCGAGTTTGGCAGTTGGCAACAAAATAAAACAAAAAAGATGAGGCGGCCGGGTTTTCTTCCCCATAGCCGCAGCTTTTTTTGTCTCCTGTTTTTTGGCGTGCGTCACTTGCTCCCGTCCCTTAATCGTGAAAATCTGAATGAGCGGCACTGTGGGGGCGGAGAGGGGCTTTTAAAGCCAGGGATGCCAGCGAATTGGGGGGGGGGGGAGCGCTGCCGCCGGGGGACGCTGCCGGGGCCGTAGTTGGCGGGAAGGGTCAAGTCCCGCAGCAGCTCAAGGCATTTTCATTATGTTCGGCGAAAGAAGATTCCGTCGGAACCTTTGTTTCCGGCCTACATGGCGAAGGCATGGCGAAGGGGTGGGGGGAGTATCGAAAGCATTGCAGGCATCCGCCAGGCCGTGGCCAGGCCGCGGCCAGGGTTTTGCAATGCATTGTCCGACGAAGAACGACGAGGAAGTGGCGGTGCCGGCGGAGCCCCGTGCCGTCCGCCCCGGCTCAAGTTGGCAGTGTGGCGGACGAGAAAGAAATGGGTGCGGTCCGAGGTCGCCCCGCTTCGCCTGGCTTCGCCCCGCTCTGGCCGCCCCCTCCCAATCAGACCCGGAGCGCTACACAACGTTTGGAGCTTTCTTCGGTGTCGGTGTCAACGGTTACCGACCAATCGCCATCTCGGTTGATGGTGCGGCCCGGACCGGCAGACTGATTCCGAGGGTCTTTTTCGTCGCTCTGTCTCTCTCACACCTGTGCGTGGCGCCCGTGAGTGTGAGAGAGACAGAGCGACGAAGACGACTCTCGGAACCAGTCTACTGGCCCGGCCGCCCCCTCGCACTGATTGCCCGTCGTCGACGTGGTCGTGGCTCGGCCGTTGGGGCCGGGGGCTCTGGGACGGGGGCGGACCAGGTGCCCTGAGGGCGCCAGCCGGGCAGCCAGGCAGCCAGCCAGGCACCTGGCCAGCCAGCCTCGCGCTCAGCCTCCAAATCCTAATGACTGTGGTGTCCTATTCGCGCTCGCTCGTATTCCCGGCACCTCCATGCCACCAAAACAAACACCAAGTTCTCTTCGGAGTTTGAACTTCGGTCCGTAGCTTTTCGGCCACGGTGTCCTGTGTCCTCCTACACGACCGCGCTCTCCTCGCAGTGTGGCGACACGAGAAAGCGCGTGTTGCTGCGATGTTTGCGGCGCTGTGCTCCGCGCCGGCGGCCAGCGAGTGCCTCGGCGAATGCTGCTTTTAATGAGGCCGCTGCTTATGGTTATGGCGCCGTGTCAATGGAGCATCCCGTCGGGACCCGGCACTGCACTGCACTGCACTGGCCTGGCCCCGAGCACGGCCCGCATGCATGTCCAGACCGCCCAGACCTCGCCGTCCAGCGCGTCCAGATGGTGTAATTGTCGTGGCGGGAATGCGGAACGCGGCCGGGGCGGGGCGGGGCGGCGGACAAGTCACACCGATGATGGGGAACCAGGCGGAGCAGGGGGCACCACCGGAACCAGGCAGAGCAGAGGGCACCAGCCCGTCGAGCTGTCGTTCTGTCCCTCTCGCACTCATGACGCCCCACGGGTGCGAGAGAGAGAGAGAGAGAGAGAGAGAGAGAGAGAGAGAGAGAGAGAGAGAGAGAGAGAGAGAGAGAGAGATCCCGCCGAATGAGAATTAGTGGCGCGGGAAACATACGGGCACGCTCTCAAAGGCGAGTGGCAGCGGGCCGCCCCTCCGGCGCCCCTCCGCCATTTTAATGAATGCCAACTTGCCCGCGGAACAATAACAACGGGCGGCTCTGTGTCGCTGGCGCTAGCTGTCTCTCCGGTCCGCTCGAACGCTCGGCGGAACGCTCGGCCCGCCGATTCGCGGCGCAGGGACGTCGCGCCCGTTCCCCGGACGTGCCGAAAGCAGCGGCCACCTGGAAATTGGTTAGACTGAGCCCGTCGACCCGAATCCCGAATCTCGGCGTAAGGGCTTTTGACTGTCACGAAGGCGGCGGGGAACTTGAGACAAGCCCGCCTCTGCGCGGCCGTGGCGTGGCCGTGGCGCGGCCCGCCCCACGACGGCCATCCCTTGGGCGCCTCCCGGCCGAGGCAGGGCGAGGCAGGGCGAGCCAGAGCAGGGCGAACCGGGCGACTGATATTGAGATTCCATCGCGCGCCGCGTTAAATCACTAGGCCACTGTTGCCCCCTACCCCTGCTTGGGCAGGGCCCGGGTCAGCCCCGGCCCCTCCCCGAGGCCCTGATCCTCGTCACGCGCCACAGCGCCGCGGATTAAGAGTGTCGTCCCTCCTCACATTTATTCGTCCCGTCTCCTCTCCGACCGGCCCGCCCGGCCCGCCCACGCTCTGCTGCCCGCCGCCCCGCTGTCCCTTTGTCTCCTCTACAGATCTACGTTTCAATCAAAAAGTTGTCCATAAACAGAGGCCGTTTGAGTTTTGCCCTCACTCGGATTGTTAGAAACACCAAAACTACACAACAAAAAATATTTATGTCGACCAAAAAAGCGCGATGAAGAAAATTTACGGAAGAGGTTTTCCCGGCGATCCAGTCCCCCCCCCCCCCCCCCCCCGGCATGGTGCTTGCTCCCAGCACTTCCCTCTCTCACCACAAGAGCAACCTCGCAGTAACCCGAGCAGGCCTCGTCATTGGACACGTCCACTGCGTGTAAGAGTCCTCTCATAACAGGCCACCTTTCCCGGTGCGGGATTCGAACTACTATCGTTTGCTTCGTCTCTCTCGCACGATGGAGCGCGCCGAAGGAAAGCAGAAGAGACCAGAGAGCGACCCAGTCCAAAAAAACCATGGGGCATCCCATGAGCCATGGCGGTGCATGGGATGCCATGGGCCGATTCTTTCCATGGGAACGATTCCCCGTGATTTTTGGAACAACTTCTCATGGTGTCTTGCGACTCATGGGGAAAGGTACCATGCAGTGTGAGTCATGGGAAGCCCTTCCTTGCCTTGGCAGAGTCCCTTGTGAGTACAAAATGATGAGATCAGTGCCTGATTTGGATTTAATCATTTCATAGGTGAAGTGTCACCCCCTAAACTTTTGACGCTACATCCGATTTTGCAATCATATTTTGTCTGGAGGGCACCGTTGACATGATATGACCTATAATTGAAAATTAGGCGGGGACTTCAACGCACGAGCAGGACTGCCTTCCCATGGGAAGTCCGAACCCATGGAAAAGTTCACATCATGGGGAAGGTCCTCCCATGGTGCTAGGCCTGCACCACGGGAAACGACCTCCATTTTGCATGGCATGCCACTTGTCCATGGTGCTGAACCGCAGTCTCATGGGATTTCAGTGCGCTGTCATGGGATTTGTGTCATGGGATCCCATGCAATCCATGGTTTTTTGGGACTGGGGACGCAGCTCTGTTCGAAATGAGCCTCCAAGGCCGTGGGGCCCCGAGGCGGCGTGGGCGTCGAGGTGTTTCTTTCCGTTCGCGTTCACGTTCGCGCCGACACTTGGCCGTCGGTGGTGCGCGTCAGCGGCCCCGCCTCGCGTCCCGCGGCCCGTCACGAATTAAATTACCGCGGAGGGTCGCGGCGCGGAGCCATGGCGGGGCCCCGGCCCTGGACCCGCGGACCGGAGGGCCCCCGCGGCCCTAAACGTCCGCGCGGCCCGGCAGCGCTCCGCCGCGCTTCGGCCTCATTTTATCTGGAACAATACCCAGCGCCGTGCCGCGCCGTGCCGTGCCGCCGTGCCACGCACACCCTGCCGGGAAGCACGCACTAAACCGGCGCGGAAGGGGAGATGGAATATCCCGGCGGCTGCGTGAAAGAGCTCCTGCTCTTGAAAAAGGCGCGGTCACGCTCGGCCGCCGGGCTCGGCCGGGCGGCGAGAAAGCAGCAATTAAACGGCTTGTTCAAGGGCGTGTGTGTGTTTGTTTTGGCTTTTGCAGCGCCGACTCCCAGTACAGCACGGCGGCCATCAACACGAACGTGATCGTGTACAGCAACGGCATGGTGACGTGGCTGTCGCACGGCATCTACCGCTCGTCGTGCGACATCGACGTCGAGTTCTTCCCCTTCGACATCCAGGCCTGCAACATGAAGTGGGCCTCGTGGACGTACGACGGCTACCAGGTGGGCGTAGACGGTGTGCAGACGGTGTGGAGACACACGACATATTTTATTTTCCGGTGGATACAACCGTCTCTGGCGTGCGCCGTGCCGCCCGCGCCGCCCCGCCCGTCGTGTCAGACATGCAGCAAATATCGCCCGCCTCACCGGGGCGTGGCGGGGCGTGGAGTTCGATTATCTTCGTCTCCGTCCCGCCGAATGGGCGCGAGCGAGACGCAGCACTGCGTACGCACCGAATCCATTTCGCGCGGGAAATACAAAATCTTGAAAAGGGAGAGGGGGTGGGGCGGCGGGGCTCTCGGCAGACACAAATCGGGGGAAGCGGAGACGCCGGGGAACTCGGGACTCGGAAACGGGACGTCGATGGCAAGGGAAGTCGGGCCGAAGTCTGTCCAATGACTGGCCTGCAGGAAGCACCAGCAGCAACGCCAAAATGCGTACGGCCTTTTTCACAGTGGTCCTTCTCAGCGAAAGAAAGTGGCACTCTGTCTTTGTGTTTGGCAGCTGGACCTGGTGAAGCAGACGGAGGAGGGCGACGTGTCCAACTACCAGGCCAACGGCGAGTTCGACCTGGTGTCGTTCGACGCCATGAAGCACGTCGAGTACTACTCGTGCTGCCCGGAGCCCTACCCGGACATCACGTACGTCATCCGCATCCGGCGCCGGCCCCTGTTCTACGTGTTCAACCTCATCCTGCCCTGCATCCTCATCAACTGCATCGGTGAGGACAGTCTCATTGCGGGCGGAGTGCACTTTGCGCCGGTGCACTCCGCCGCGCCCAGGTGCGGCCAGGGTGCAATTTCGGCGACACTGCTCTGCTCATGTGTGTGCGTGTGTGTGTGTGTTGGCAGCCCTGCTTGTCTTCTACGTGCCCTCCGAGTCCGGCGAGAAGGTGACCCTGGGGATCAGCGCGCTCCTGTCCATGACCGTCTTCCTCATGACAATACGAGAGTCCCTCCCCCCGACTGAGAAGACTCCCCTTATCAGTGAGTAGTGGGGCCGCGTGGGGCCGGGGCGGGACGGGGCCGACGGGGTCCTTCTCGCTGTCACGGCGAGGGCCCGCCCGGGGCCCCACCCCGCGCGCGGCCGCGGCGGCCAAGGCGAGGCGACGCGCCGCGGATTACCAGGGAATCGGGCTTCCGGTCGGGCCGCGTGCTCCGCGTGCTCGCGGTGCTCGCGCGGTGCTCGCGTCGCGACGCGTCGTGGCGTGGCTTGGCGTTGATCCTTCCTTTACACGAGTGTGTGGCTTCGGGTCATGCTAAGAGGATAAAGGCTGCACTGCGCGCCGGAGAGGGGGAAGGGGAGGGGGGGCCAAGATTGGAAAGCCAACAAGAGAAGTTGCCGTGTAGCTGGCTGCCTGCCTGCCTGGCCGCCTAGCTTGCTGGCTGCTGCGCAAGAGTTTCTTTCGCGTTGAAGCCGCCCAAGCAGCTCCATTAGAGCTAGAGCGGATCCGGGCGGGGCGGACGGGGCTGGCAGACGGTACAAGACACATCCCAACACGAGTGGATAAAGTTTGGCCCAAATATTTTCATGACGAGCTGGCTGTTCCTCGGCCGTTGCTGCCAGCCCCGCCAGCCGCCAGCGTAGCGCGGGGCTGTGTCGGCCCTTCGGCCCGCTGGCCCTCGGCGCGGCCGGGCCATGTCAGCGGGAAGGGGCATAAGCAGCAAGCAAAGGAAATGATGTGGGGGTGGGGTGGGGGTAGATAGAGCCCCGTCGCTCCAGCTCACTGCACTGCCTTGTATGGCTCGGCGTTCTATTCCGTCTCCTGGTCACAAGCTGCTTTCCAAAACGCGCTCCGTTCCGTTTTCCTGTTTTTTTTTTCCTCCTCCGAGCTCCGCTGCTCCGAGGGTAGCGCCCGCAGAGTCGAGGGTAGGCAGCCCGCTCCGCTCGCGTGCGTGGCGGGCCGGCCTGCCACGACCATCCAGGCGCTCGGGGCGTGTGTTGCAACGCGTGTTGCAACGCGCGTTGGCACGCCTGTTGCTTGCTTGCAGGCCTGTACTACGGCGTCAGCATCTGCCTGGTGTCCTTCGCGTCCGGGCTGTCCGTGGTGACGCTCAACGTGTACCACCGCGGCGTGCGCGGCACGGGCGTGCCGCCCATCATCAAGACCATGGTGCTGCAGCACCTGGCGAGGCTGGTGTTCCTGCGCTTCGAGCCCCGCGACAAGGCCAAGGGGCCGCACCAAGGCGCCGCGGCCGCCGCAGCCGCCGCGGCAGCCCACCACAACGTCAACGTAAGTCGCCCCGCCTTGATTGCGGTTCGCTTTCGTTTTCGTTTAATCACACCTTCCTACACTGAGTTCCGAATGCGAGTGAAAGTGAAAGTAAGATTGCTGGTCACGCCTGGCTTGCGCCCACGGCACCCCGACGCTCACACCCCGTGCAGTGCACACAGCCTTCTTTGCCACGGCGCAGCTGGCGGACAGTGGAGTGGACGCGTCTGCCGTCGTGGGAATGCGCCCACAAAGAATCACTCTGGAGCAGTCCGAAGTCCGCCCGGCCACCACACTGCATGACTCCATGACACCGCGACTCCGTGACGCGTCAAATTCTCTTAGGCAGATGGACATTTTCAGGAGCAGCCCGCTGGCGGCAGATGGGCCAACATTTGGGGGTCCAGCCGCAGGGCCCGCCGCGGCGCGCCACCGCCCCCACGGGCGCACCGAGCTAGTTCCCTTACCCTCCTGGTGAGCGCGCCACCGTCGCCCGCCGTGGCCCTGTTGGACAGAGCGGGTTGCCAACTCGAGAGGAACTTTCCCTTTGCCCAGTCAGTCCAGTTTGGTTCCAACTTTTTTTTTTCGAGCGTTTCCGATACGAGCCCATGTTTGGTCTGGCGCTTCTTTTTTCAAACTGACAACTTTTAAATAAAAATGATTCGACACATATGATGCCATGCGTTAGTGCATTTTTTTTTCAAAGGCCGTGTCACGTTCTTGTGCATTCAGGGATTGCAGGGAAATTTCCCCCGGTTGGCAGCACCGATGACCTCAGTGGGCTACTAGGTGCGAAGTGTATTCCGTAATTTTGCTCGATCAATGTGTTATGTTCTGTGTCGTTTATTCGTACTGTCGTTTTAGTTACACCAAGGGTACCCACACACCGGGGCACCCTCACCACTTTTGTTTCTGTTTGGCCGGTTTTCCAGCCGTGCTTTTTGTTCTGGAATGACTGTGTAGTGAGAACACCTGAGCCTGTCTTGGTACTTCCCGAGTACGGCAGCACTCCTGCACTCTAAATGTTGTACAGTGAAGATTCTCCATATTATGGTGAAAATGTTCCATATTACGGTGGTGCAGCTGACTTCGTAACATACCATTCAGAATTCACTGTAGCTTATAGATATTTTGACAAATTTCGTTGGTATTATGGAGAAAATCTCCACCATGATATGTTGGTGCAGCCTTTCACCGTAAGACATTTACTGTGTGCTGCGCCCCGACTCGCGCGCCGAGCCCCGACCCGCTGGCATGTCACCTGTAGCGATTGTCCTAGCGACGCACCGGCCCTCCGTCCTCGCCTCTCCTCGCCGCCTCGGCCTCGGCCTCACCCTCGCCTTCTTGCAGGACGTGACGCGGCTCGGCCCGCGGCCCGACAAGTGGATGCCGGAGGACGCGGCCAACGCCGACCCCCAGCAGATGAGTCCCCGGTTCAGCATCCGGCAGCGGCCCAACGCCTCGCGGACGCCGGACGGACGGCCGGACGGGCGCCCCGACGGACGTCCCGCCGCCGACGCGCAGGGCAACGGTGAGCCAGCACGGCGCGCACGGCCAGCGACGCGCCCCCTTCGCGGCGAACAAAGCCTCCAGCGAGGCCAGCGAGGCCGGCCTCGGCTAAACGCCGCTAATGCTCGCGCCAGAAGCCGCCGGGCAAAATCTTTCTTTCTCTACCGCCATTATTTTGGCGCCTTTTTGAGGGCACCGCTTCGCCGCTTTCGCCCTCACATGCCCGGGGCGCGGGCGGCCAGCAGCCCGGCCAGCCCGGCCAGCCCCCGCGGCCTCCACACAGCCTGTTATTGTGCACGGCCACGGCGCCACGGCCGGAGAAAACCAACAGGACGCAGAGTGCCTGCTAGTGCCCTCTCCTCTATCTAGTGTAATCCGCAAACCGGCCTACGCCCCTCGCCCCTACCCCCTGCCGCTCCCGCTGCCCCCTCCCCCAAGACGATGAGTAAATCCGGTGGCGGCAACAAGGCAATCGTGTGCAAGTGCACTGCATTGTAATCTCGGAGCTTGGTGGGGCACGCACGCCTCAGGGCGGGACCGAGCGCTCCCTCCCCCCCCCCCCTTCCCCCTCCCCTCCCCGCCGCCCCTGCGCCTCGGAGCGCCTCATCAGCCTGCCGCAAGGCTTGTTTGGGAAAGCAGGGCGTGATTCTGGCCCGCTGCACATGCGCCCAGTGGGGGTAGCGGCCCTGGCGATGCCCTGGCGGTGCACTGGCGGTGCACTGGTGGTGAAGCTGCCCTACGGTGCCCCTCCCCCTCCCCTGCCGATGCACGCGCCGTTTCCGTGTGACACCACGATGGCGGGCTGGGCCAGGCTGGGCCGGCTTAGTCCGCTCGGCTGCACCACTGCGAATGCCTCGGCGAATGCCGTCTCTCTCATGCCGGTGGTGCTTCTTGCAGCGGCCTGGGCGGGCCACAACAGCAACAGCGGGGTCCTCAGCGGCGCGTTCTCCGAAGGTAACAACTTTCTTCCTCTTCTTTGCGCTTTCTTCTCTATATAGGGCCGCAGCGCGAAGCGCGAAGGGCGGATTATTGGAAAAAACGACGCCGCGCTGAAAGGCGGTGTTTGAACCTACACCCTGGAAAAAGGATTCCCCGGGCCCTGTCGCTTTGTCCACGCACGTGGCAGGCTATCCACGCAGAGGGCCGGGTTCCAAAGTTCAAGGTTCAAACACCGGCTTGCGCGTGCTGTTGTTGTTGTTGTTGTTGTTGTTGTTGTGTGACTGTGCCTGTGACGCGTGCGCAGACCTGGAGGCGCAGTTCGTGCGCGTGCTGGTGCGCGTCAACGCCACCATCGAGCGCAACGAGGCGCGCCTGGCCGAGCAGGAGCGGCGCGAGACGGCCGAGCTGGAGTGGAAGCAGGTGGCGCTGGTGCTGGACCGCTTCCTGCTCTGGCTCTTCATGGCCACCACGGCCATCGCCTCCACCGTCATCCTCTGCGGCTCGCCCTACGGCCCATGATGGTGGACCTACGAGGGCGCCACCGTGCAGCCCAGGGAGCGGCCCCGCCTGGAGCCGCTGCAGCCCCTGCAGCGCCCCGGGAAGCACTGAGACGTCGCCAAGCGCCGCCAAGAAGGCTTCGCTTTCCTTTGGCGCTCCGCGCTCCGCCGCTGCGCTCTAAGCCGCTGATGCTTTCCTAGTTTGGTCCGGACCTCGCTGCTAGCTGCCCCGCCGCCGTGTCCCGCTTCCAGCAGCGCTTCCAGCGAGGCGAGAGGCGCCGCTTTCCAGCTGACCCCTCGCTTGTCTAGTGCTTCGAGTAGTGACGCCGTTCGCTCTCGCCTCCTTCAACTTCTTGCCTCACTATTTCGCATTTCTTACCCCCCCCCCCTCGCATTTCTTATCCGCGCCACTCTGCCCTTCCCCCCCCCCCCCCCCACCACCACCACTTCAAATTTCTGCCGCTTTTCACTCTTCAAATCCCCCCTCCCCCAGAACAAAACACGTTGAATTTCTCCCCTCCTTCCACCACGACCTCTCTTGGCTTCCCCCACCACCACCTGCCCCCCGCGTCTTGCCCTGTCCTCGCTAGAAACCTTGAAAAGTCAGCGGTTTGGCGACATGGACGACTCCCGTCCATCCAGCGGCGCGTTCGAGCGACAAAGGCCTCGTCTCATCCCTGTCGTGCCCTCGTAGGTCACCAACGTCACCAACCAATCGCCACCACCGAACAATTCGTCCAGAGCGAATCTCTCTCGCAAAGTGGAAACTTGACTCGTGTGTGTACAGTGCAGGCGCGGATCGAGTGGGGTGCAAAAGGACAATTGGCCCCCTAGACAGCCGCCTGAATTGTGGGCAAGGCAGCCCTTTGCCCCGGTAGGTAGGCAAAAACATTGCCCCTCCCTCGGGCCGGCCCTGGATCCGCCACTGCCGTCGTGTTGATGTGCGCACAGCGCACAGTGCTCCGACTTGTGTTGACTGCTCAGCGTGCTTCCGGGCGCTTTGCGTAGATCACTGAGAGGGGCGCCTCTAGTGCATTTATTCGTTTGTTTGTTGGCTTATCCGCCGCACTGTACTTATACAGTGGCGTAGATTAGATGGGCTCCAGTCGTGTAATGTGCCATGTTCCGACACACAGTACCTGTTTTGTTTGCGTCTTAAATCGCGTGTTTGCCAAAGATTCACAGATTTTCGTTAACGGACCTTATTTTGTCTCATGTGCGAAACTCCGTATCAATTGTATAAAAATTTATATATTCTTTTTTATTTTAAATGTAAGGACAGTTCCTCGACTCCAAACGTTTTCTACTTTGTCATGTCGTTATGGCGGAGATTAACAAAACGTAGAGTATTTAAGGTTAAGCGTTCTAGACGCACCGTATCTATGAAGACTACGAGTTACCGAATGTGAAAAAGCAGGTCTCAACTTTTTGTCAAATTCAGAATTTATTACACTCGGGACTTTCCAAGTGATTTGTGTACATTAGTGACATGGACTTTCTCAGGGTCTGCCGCCAGTTGGCTAGGGTTGTGACTATCCTCATTTTGATTACTACTAAGCAAAGACCCTGCACAAACAATTATTGGGTAAGACTTGACAACTCATGTGCATAAAGTCCATTTAAAGTTCAGGGTGTGCCATGAAAAGCTATGGCTGAGATCGTTCCCCCCCTGTTATTATTAGCCGTTCTCCAAAGTTTACTTACTTGTTTGGTGAGTGCATTGCACTTTGTATTGACAACGGATAGCGTTGACGGGATGAAGCGTCCTCTTCGAGCCGACGGCGCCGACGGGCTCGAAGGACACCAGGCATGTGGAGCGTGCCGAACAAATCTCATTGAGGAATCACAGGGTAAAGTAGGAGTCGTGCCTACTCATTTAGCGTCTTTCTAAAAGTTCGTTTTCATCGTTGTTTGGTGGCACCTTCATCCCCATACTAGCGTATAACTATTGGACTTAATTACTATGTGTTACCGATCGTTTACATAATTTTTTTATTTGATTTCTTAAGTAGTTGCGCAGGGAAAAAAATATGTACAGTATGTACGACGTAAACAAATATTTGAAATAAATATAATGTATTGGAGATTCCTGGATATCACTTTAATGCATCTGTACCTGGATTCCGAGATGGATGATTGATAAGTAACGCAAGCATTCATACACACACGCACACTCACACACAAACACACACGCACACACAAAAGCGGCTCATTCGTATCGTTCGGGGAAGTCGTCGCTCTGCAGGGAGAGGTCCCTGATGCACTTGGAGGCCGTCTGGTACGCTGGCTTCAAGTCCTTCACCGACTGCTTCAGGCCCGACACGGCCTCACTGTCGAACTGCTTCAGCGTCGGCTCCAAGTGGCTCTGAAAGGCGAAAATGGTCAAGAATTATGATGCCGTTTGGTTACTGACCGCGGCGGATCTCGGCCCGGGGAGGGGGTTACCTGAACTGTCTGTACCACGCCGGCCATCCCCTGGTCGGACAGCACGTCCGTGAAGAGGCTGAAGATCTTCTCGTCGTACCAGGCGATCTGGCGCACGATGCTCTGGCGCAGCTTGTCCTCCAGCTTGGCCCTCACGGCCTCCGCCGACTTGACGTACTCCTGCTGGCAGACGAGGATCGCGTCGGCGATATCCGTGCCGGCCGGCGCCCCCGCCACCACGCGGGCACCCCACTGCCGCAGGTAGCCCTGGCAGGACACTGTGTAAGTAGAGAGCAAAGTCTGCGGTGGACACGGTTACAAAATTTTGTTACCTCCATCGTGCTGTTGGTCTCCATGAGTTGCTGCAGGGTGCTCTGAGTGGTGCCCTCGGAGAGGATGGTGTGCCTCTTGACCACCTTCTGGCAGGCCTCCACCGACTTGTACAGGTCGCCGTCAACCCCTTGGGCCTGCGAGGGAAGAGGCAGAGAATTGGCCATGGAAGAGCGGGCCACAGTGGGCCAGAAGACCGGTGGAGGCGGCCAAAACTCTAGACGCGTTTTGAGCTCCAGAGTCGCTAAACAGGCCTCGAACCGAACGTGTGACCCCACCAATGGATTCCTCGTGCGGAGAGCAATCCATTGGTGGGGTCACACGTTCGGTTCGAGCCCTGTTTAGCGACTTGGCAGCTCAAAACGCGTCTAGAGTTTTGGCCGCCTCCACCGGTCTTCTGGCCCACTGTGCGGGCGGAGTCGGTCACTCGCACAAACACGCGCGCCCTTTTCCTCGGCAAACAAAAAGCCAATAGAATATGTATGGTGTCCGTATACCTGGGCGCAGCCCGCCAGGTGGAGGAGGCAGGCCACCGCGAGGCTTGCTGCCTGGCCCGTCCGGCCCGTCCGCCACCGCGTCATACTGCTGGCTTCTTGGCTGCTTCGCGTCGCCGCCACTCGAGACGACCGGCCGCCCGGCACTGGCCGCCCGGCCTAGCCTAATCGTGGAAAGGTGCATCAGTCAGTGCTCCGGGTATTCCTCTGCGGGGGCTCCTCGCCGGGGCCTCGTTGGTTTCCCAAAGCCCTTTTAGCGATTGAGAAAATTAATTTTGGGCCCTGAGTTTCCATCATGGGGGCCCCACGTCCGGGGGAGGGGTCCGGGCAACACGGGGGAAAAAAAGCAATGAGAAATGTATGTGTCCGGATACGGGCGCAGCCCCCGGGAGACACCCCGCGGCTTACCTCCGGTACACGAAATTTCCAGGTTACTGTGGTTTTTGCGCCGGTCCCGCCACTCGAGACGACGCCCCGGACTGCCCCGGCTTACCTTCTAAATCATCTCCGATTATTTCCCGTCTGCGGTTCCTCCCCGGCTAGTGCGAAACCCTTTCACCGATAAGAATAATTGGCTGAGGCGTTTCATCCCGTCGGTCCGAGCACGCACCCATCGGGCACGCCACTGCGTGTTCGACTTCTGCTGGCACTTCCCTCCTTCCCCGCGCCATTTTTCCAATTCTCATCATCGAGTCTTGAGCCCTTTGTTCAGGAAATAGGGGCGCTTCGTGGGTACACTGTGAAACTGAAGTGTGTATACAGTGCACACTTAAGTGCTTCATGTGTGTGCTCAGCACACACTTTAGTGCTCAGTGGTTAAGTTTTCAGGAGTGAGTGGGTTGAGGTGAGAGGTGACGATTGAAAGTGGAGCGACTGCCAGGCTAGTAGGAACTTTATTGCTGGCTGTACAGTTCGAGCTGCAGGTTCTCGCGGATGGCGTTGCGCTGGTAGTGGACCTCCTCCTTGCAGAAGCCGCTGAACAGCCACGGGCACGCGTACTCGATGCTCTCGGTGCAGAGGGTGGCCATGCCGCCATCGCGCGGCGCGAACCGGAACTCGGACAGCGTGGGCACTGCGGCAGGGGGTAGCGTCGGCTCGCTAGTAGAGCGGAAGCGCGGGGTAGCGACACACACGCGCCGGAGCGGCGGCCCGCGGCGCTACCCCGCGCGCGGAGAGACGTTATCGGCAGCATGATAGAATGCTTCCGGCGGCCCAAGGCGGGTCCTGTCGGCCACGCACGATTCGGGGGCCCTCTGCGTGATTGAATTTCAGATGTACTCACGGCAGAAGAAGTCGGTGTAGAAGCAGGTGCTGTGCGTGGAGCGGATGATGAAGTCGCTGCCGGGCTTGGCGGGCAGCACCTCGAAGTGGGCGGTGGCGTAGTTGGTCAGGGACGGCATGCCGCTCAGCCGCTCCGAGTACCGCACCGTGTACTTCCAGACGCCGTGGTTGCCCGCGTCCGAGAGCAGGTCCCAGTCCAGGCTGCGGGGGAAGTTTCCGGAAATTTCGAAAACAAGCGTTTGGCCGGGTTGCCTTCTGTCGACGCACAGTGGGCCAGAGGACCGGTGGAGGCCGCCCGAATCCCCGACGCGTTTTGAGCTCCAGAGTCGCTGAATGGGACTCGAACCGAACGTGTGACTCCACCAATGACTTGCTCTCCGAACGAGGAACCCATCGGCGGCTTCACACTTTCGGTTTGTCCTGTTTACCGACTCTGGAGCTCAAAACGCGTCTAGAGTTTCGGCCGCCTGCGACCGTCTTCTGGCCCACTGTGGGGGCGTGCGTCATGTTTGGCGGGCTGGCGGGCTGGCGGCGCGCCGTAATGGCACTCACATGGTAGGGTTCAGCTTGGGCATGTTGCTGAAGTCCGAGACGAACTCCCACACGTCCTTGGGCCTTGCCTGCTCGATGACGTACTCCTCGTGGTGCAGGTAGGCCCTCGGCGACAGCAGCAGGTACAGCACCAGGGCCACCACGACGCACACGCCGGCGCGGCGCGCGCACAGCGAGCCCCTCCGGCCCAGCTGCTGGCCCAGCTTCCTCGACCTGCCAATGCAACCGCATGTCCGGCGCTGCTTCGAGTCCGAAAACGAAAGCTACCAATAACCAGCGCTGCGTGTACTCACGTCGAGACTGTCATGGTTGTTGCTACTCCAGTTGCTGCCGGCTGCTCGGTTTCATGCTGACGCGGACACGTCCGCTGGTCGCTCCGTCTTGGCACGGACTGGCGTTCTGCGGCTGGACGGCTGGTGACGGTGTCAGCCAGCCAAGGGCTCCTCAAACCCGCGGCGGGAGGGAGGCCTGGCCGGGGGCAGGCGTGCCAACACGGCCAGCACCAACACACAGCCGCACGGAACGAGGGTCTTACGGTAAACGGCACGGAGGATGAAAATGGGCTCTGGATCAATTCGCTGCTTGCGGATTCGTATCGTTGCCTGTGCCTATATGCAGAGCCGGGAACACCGGGACGGGCGGGGTGAGGGGGCACTGGGCGGGAAGGCAGGGCAGTGGCACTGGCCGTGGAGCTCGTTGGGATTTCAACGCACTTGAAGGAATTTCTAGGAGTAAGGGCGAAACAGAGCTGTAATGATGCCATGGCCCGGAGCAATAATGCAGTGCAGTGCGTGTCCGACACACGGGGAATGCCATGCCGTCCTGCTTACGCTGTCCCGCCGCTTTTCGATGTGGCACCATGGTGGCACGAGGCTCCGCAGATCGGATCGGCTTACTGAGAAGGGTCGACCGGATGGCCGCCTATTCGGGCCGGAAAGGGGGAAAGGAGGTGGAGGGGGCATTTTGGTTATCAAGTTTCGGGGCAGACAAACCGTGCTACCGTGCCCGCTCTTCCTAGAAAATTTAAGGCTTATTCGAAACCTTGGAAAAGGCAAATAACAACACAAGTTAATAACAACAGAAAAGCTGTAAAATAAAACGCACGGTCAGCATCATTTCACTTCATTGCCATCGCCTTGTGAATAAATAACGATTTTAAAATATTTGAAACTAGATTTTAAAGAGTTGCCTGGGTTTCGTTCGAATCAGCGGTCTCAACTCTCAATGGAATACTTTTGCAAGTCAGTCTAGTTTCGTCTGGCCTCTGACGCGTAATGGTTTGAAAATTGGCGTTTTACCGCCCTCTGCTCTGTCCCGTTCCGGTCCACCTCCGCCATGACACTTTCAGTTGCTATGCTTCCGGTACGAATCCATGCCTTGTAACGCTTTGCGTTTGTTTTACGTTTGTTTTGATTTTGAGTGGTTAACACACAGGTTTTGATAAATTCTCGCCGACTTCACCTATCTTCATCGGTCACACGACCGTAAGTATCTTTTCCATGTGGTTTGTAATTGTTGCTGTTGTTGATTTCGTAATCTTCACCTCCCTTTGCTGCCCCAGGAAGGGCTCCACAGTGGCTTGTAGGTTATGTTATGTTTGGAACGTTTCTGGAATATTCATAATATTGTTCTGAAAAGCACTTACATGTCTCTAGTATACTTTAATGTGATATGTGATTCACACTTTTGATATACATGAAAGAACTGACGTTAGTTTCATTTTTATGAAGCGTTGTACATCTGTCACTATGCCCCTCTTACAAACTGGAACCACATTATTACTTTCCCTTGGCTCTACAGTTTTTATCATTCTTTGCCTGTCATATAAACACTTTAATTTCTTTTCAATTCTCAGGTGGAGTGCAACCATGGGCAAGAGCCGTTCCCCTTCACCCAGAAGGAGGCGGAGTCGCTCCAGGGACAACAGAGACCGTCATGACAGGGATCGGGAGCGCGAGCGAGAACGAGAAAGAGAAAGAGAGCGCGACCGGGATCGCAGGAGACGCCGCTCCAGGGAGCGAGAACCCATCAGGAGAAGGTACAAACTGTCACTCTAATAAATCACTGCTTTGCGTGTCACGAGCTCGCTCAGCCTCGTGTTGACTGTGATTGTTCAGTTTCCTGACGGATGTCTCTGTGTTACAGGTCAGAAGATCGGGATAGAAACAGGGATCATCGACGCTTCTCAAGATCAAGATCAAGATCTAAGTCTCCTGCTCCTAAACCAAAGGCTCGACCATTTGCAGCACCCAAAGTTGTGTCTGGTAAGCTTTGAATATTCGTATATGATTTTTGTCTTATGTCACCGTTAATATTTCCTGTTGCGTTGTTATGATTCCAGTGTGCCTAACCAATTAATTTATTTCCAGATGCTGACCTTGCTGGGAAGACACCTGAGGAACAAGAAATGTTGAAGGCAATGGGATTCTGCTCATTTGATTCATCTAAGGGGAAACGAGTTCAAGGAAATGATGTTGGAACTGTCCATGTTATTCTGAAGAGAAAATACAGACAATACATGAACCGGAAAGGTGGTTTCAACCGACCTTTGGATTTTGTCGCTTAATTTTTCTGTGTTAAATATTTTTTACCTATTATTTACTTTCACTCCGAATTTTTTGTCAGATTAAAGTTTTGTTGTAGGAGCAAGTGTTTTGTGGATAAATGGGATGAAAGAGTGTATGTGTTTGTGCTGTCTGGTATGTTAAGTTTTTGACTTGGTATAGATATGATTACCGGTATTTTGTTTTTGTTACATTACCAGACTGAAGAATACAATTGTACATAGCTGTGTATCTTAATAAATACTTTGTAAGGAGTATATTTTGAAAATTTTGTTTCCCTTTCTCTTTTTGTGGATACCAAGAGTACAACTAAGCCAAACATGTATCTATCACTCAAGCTAAAATGCAGACGAAGAATATTGCTAGAGGGGAGGGAAGACCACATTCTACTTCATTCGAGGAGTGGGGAAATGCCGAACAAGCATTCTACCACATCTCAGCACATCAGCCTATGGATCGCACCTGATGAAGAAGAGAGCCTTGCCAAGCCTGAGGTCCTCCTGTGAGCAAGTCCTCGCATCCTCTTTCTTTTTCATGTTTTCAATTTTTGATGTCAGCGAGACGTCTTGGTGACTTGGCGTTCTCCCTGGGCAGCTCGTTGGGCGGCGCGGTCCGAGGGGCGGCCGACTCGCCCCCCTCCCCTCCCCATTGGTTATGCAGCAGCCTGCGGTCATGCTCCCATCATGAGAGTCCGCTGGAGTTGGCTGGAGTCCGCCCGGGCTGCGAGTGCGACAGAGAGGGACGCTGGGCGCCGTCCGTGCCGGTCCCGGACTGCGGACGCGCTTGGGACGCAGCCCGACGGGGAGCCTGCCGCGTGTCGCTTGACGGCCTGGTCTGCCCAGGTGTCGTGCAGGGCGGCAGGGCCAGGCAGGGCAGGGCGCGCGTGCGGGGGAGGCCAGCTGTTCCTTCGCAGGCAGACTGATTCCGGAAGTCATTTCCCTCACTCTCTCGCACTCATGGGGCGTCCCGAAGAGGTGCGAGAGAGACACAGCGACGAAAGCGCCTCTCGGGATCAGTCTGCTGTTGGCTTGTTCGCGGCGGCCGGGCACTGCGTGGCTGCGTCCCGTCCAGGCACGCCAAGGCTCGCAAACCAGCCGCCAGCCCGCGGGCATCTGTGCGTGACCGCTAAGTTGAGCACTTTGGGCGTCGCACCGCGCAGCCACGGCACAGCCATGCCGTAGGAACGACTCCGTTCCGGGGTAGTTCTCTGCAAGCATGCCAGCAGGGAGGGCAAGGCAGAGAAAAACGGCTCGACCCTTTGCACGGCGCGTGACCCCCGTTCGGATAGCGACACGGAAGGGTGACATGACATTCATATTCCGCTGTTCGGCCCTTCTCAACGCGGTTGATGCCCCTTTTATGGCGGTGTAATATCCCCGCGAAATTCTAGTGTGCATTCTTTTTATTGTGGTGGTGCGCCTCCACGCATGAAGAGGGTCGCGGGCTGCAGTCATGACGGAAGCACTTTAAGAGGAGAGGGTGCTGTCTGGCGGAGCGGAGGGCCGCGCTGCCGCGCTGGATGTCCTGCAGGCCGTGCTGCAGGCCGTGCTGGGGGCTCCTCCAGTGACGGACGGGGGGCGGGCGGGGCAGGCTGGGTCGTTTTAAGACGCGCGCTCCATTAATTTGTCCCCGTGACTTATTGGCGCGCCCCTCCTCCGGATAAGGAGGAGGAGGGGGTGACTGGGGTGGACAGATAGGGCAGGGGAAAATCGGGTAAAAATGACGTCGACCTTTTTTATAATTGCTTCCTCCTGGCCCGTCTCGCTAATCTGCTAACATGCAACTAAACGCCGCTAAGCTGTCGGGCCATTAACAGTCATTTTGGCAGCGAGGGAAGTGACACGGGGACAGGGAGGGTGGCTGCACGCGTGGGAGGGAGGGAGAGGGAAGACAGTTCATAATAACTCACTCAGGGTGACGTCACCGCCTTGCCGCCTTGCTACCCTACCCGCCGTTCGAATGAGTCACCGTACCAGGAAGCCACCCCTTGGAGTGCACCCCTCCGCTCCGCTCCGCTTCCAGACCGTCCGGGAGCGCCGCGCCAACCACGCCGCGTGCTGCGGAGTCAAGAGTAGGGAAGGGAGAGAGGCGGCGTGGCGTGGCGGCCCGGCGGGGCGGTGTCGGCGCGCCGCGCCGCGGCTCACTCGGTCAGTAGCCCGGGAGGCATCGTGAGGCTCGCTGCGCTGCGTCGCTGCGTCCGTGTCGCCACCCCGCCGCTCGCCGGTCGCACCACGTCGCGGGAACCTCACCGCCGGGGAAGTCCAGGCCGAGCCGTGCGTCGCGCGTGCGTGCCTGCGTGTGCGTGTCTGTGTGTGTGTGCTCTGCTCTGTGGTGACATCCTGGCCGGCATGCCGGACGTGAGGACTCCGGCCGATAGCCGCGCCGGCTGCCAGGCCGGCTGCCCCGCCAGGTGAAGAGGGCCGTCCCCGTGATGCAGCAGGCCCGGCACGAGGACAGGCCCGCACCGCGGCGATGAGCGCCCACCCCGTCTTCCACAGCCCCAGCGTGCCGCACCAGCGCGGTGAGTCTTAGTCGCCGAGTGCGAGGCGTGTGAAGCGTGTGAATGGCCGCATGGCGACTTGCTAACGGAAGCGCCGTTCGGCCGCCTCAGCGAATCCACGCCGATGCGCCTCGCAAGGCTGTCAAGAACCTTGCTGAAAACATCGGCCTGTCTGTCTGTCGTTTGCCAGGTAGGCTGCCCGCCTGTCCGCCGCGGTTAGTCTAGTAATGGAAGTCGAAGTGGGCGCGGGGCTGGCATCGGAGTCTGGTCAGATCCTCGAGCAAATTAATCCCCCTTCCCCTGCCGTCCCACCCGCGCACAGAATTCTTGAGCATTCGACCGGGCCAGCCCCCGGCAGGCAGGCAGGCAGGCAGGCAGCCGCCTCCCTCACCCCCTGTGGCGGGGGCGGGACCGTTCGTCTCGGCTGTCAAATCTAAGTTGTAGAATCCAATCTATCTTGGTGTCGTCCTGGGCGAAAAACTCAGAGACACTCTCTGCCATGCGATTGCTTTCCGCTGCGCTGCACTGCCGTTTGCTCTGTGCGTTGCAGTGCGTTGCAGTGCGTCGCGAGCTGCACTCCCCCTTCTAATTGCGATGCAGATCCAGCGGCTGCAGTCGTCCTCCTCCTCTCGGATGATTTATTTCCCACGGCCCGGCCGGGCCTGATAATAAAACGCGGAATAAACAAGCCGCCCGAATCGCGGCTCGAGAGTTCCCTCTCTCTCTTTCTCTCTCTTTCTCTCTCTCTCTCTCTCTCTCTCTCTCTCTCTCTCTCTCTCTCTCTCTCTCTCTCTCTCTCTCTCTCTCTCTCTTTCTCCCTCCCTCTTCCAGCCCCTCGTCTTGGAGTGTTTTCGCGCCAGCCTTGGCCCTGCCCGCCCCGCACTCCGCGCACCGCACTCGGCAGCACTGCAGCCCGATGCCGAGAGTCGTCGCTCTGTCTCTCTCCCACTCGAGGGGCGCCCCCCGAGTAGGTGTGAGAGAGACAGAGCGACGACTCTCGGAATCAGTCTATGCTGGTCGTGAGAATTTCCCGATGAACGCCGCAGTGGTGGCCTTATCGAAACTCGCCGGCCTTCCTCTACGGTGTTTCTCTTTATCTGTTTGCGGCTCAAACTGAAATGTTTCTGGCCGCTCCGGCTTTTTGTCGCGCTGAAATTCATCCGTGCTCCTGGCGCGGCGTGGCGCGGCGTGGCGCGGCGCAGAGAGGTGACACAAAGGAAATAATCTCCGGCGCCGCGGCAGAGGCAGAGGCAGCGCTATAGTCGAATGGCTGCTGAATTCTTTTCTGGACAATTTACGGCGAAGGCGCTGCGCGCTGCGCGTGTGCCATGGTGCCATCCGCATTCCACTGCCAGGCGCTGCCAACGCCAGCAGCAGCCCTGCAGCCCTGTGTTTGCGGCCGCGCTCTTTTTCGCCCTCCAGGCTCCAGGCGCACAGTGGGCCAGAAGACCGGTGGAGGCGGCCAAAACTCTAGACGCGTTTTGAGCTCCAGAGTCGCTAAATGGGACTCGAACCGGACGTGTGACCCCACCAATGGATTGCTCTTCCGAACGAGGAATCCATTGGTGGGGTCACACGTTCGGTTCGAGTCCTGTTTGGCGACTGCGGGGCTCAAAACGCGTCAAGAGTTTTGGCCGCCTCCACCGGTCTTCTGGCCCACTGTGCCGCGCCGCCCCGCTCCGTGCTGTTTTCACATCCCCGACCACGGGACGACAAACAGCAGCGCGGTCCCGTCGCTCTGTCTCTCTCGCACCCGTGCGGTGCCATGCGGTGCGCCCCACGAGTGCGAGAGAGACGGCGCGCGGCCCCTCGCGAAATGACACGGGCGTTTAATTGAAAGACGGGCGATGCCCGGGCCGCCATTGTGTGAAATGCCCGGGGCACCGCGCACCGCGCGCCGCGCCACGACACTAGCAGACGCGTCACTGCAAAACTGGCGAGCACCGCGACGTGACCTTTGAGAAAATATCGCGGAAAGTAAGCGGGCCTAAAGTTCATGCCGAGTCGCGCGTCGCGAGGGCTAACCTTTCAAGTTTGTTCAATTTCCAGCGGGCTTATTACTGCCCCGGAAAGGGCTGGGCCGGGCCGGGCTGGGCTGAGGTTTAAACACGGTTTGATACTGCGCGGCGGGGAAAACGTTTCGACACGGGATGTTTTTATTGTGGTGACGGGGCGTGCCCACCAGAATCTCGATGTGAATCCGGACCGCCTCCCCCGCCTCGTGAGGTCATCGGCATCCCAATGTGAATCCGACTCGATTGCTTCGATACTCATCTGTGTCGTCTGTCTCTCTCCGTCCGCAGGCCGCTACCGCGACTGGCTGGCCGCGCCCACGTCGCCGGCCCCGGACTCCAGGCTGTCCTGGCTGTCCAGGCTGTCCAGCGAGGCCCCGGCGGCGGACTGGGAGCTGTACCCGGACAGCCGCGAGAGCGCGGCCCCGTCGTCGCCGGCCGCCCCCGCGGCCCCCGCGGCCCCGGACATGGCCATGCACCCCCCGGACCCCGACCCGGAGGTGGACAGCGCCCTGGACGGCGCCCTGGGCAACGGCCTCAGCCACGGCCTGCACCGGTGGAGGGTGTACACCCGCAGAGGAGGTGAGTCCACCCCGTATCAGTCAATCCCTCGGCGATAAGGGTGGCCGAGCCGAGGCTGGCGCAGCTCGGGGTAGGTCGGCATGACGGCGGCAGGGCGGCAGGGCGGCGGGGCCGCGCGGGGCTTGCTTTGCTCTGTCGATGCCGAATGTACGGCTTCGGGGAAGGAGGGGCGGAGGGGGCACGTGGGGGCGGTATTGTGCCCCGATGTGTCCCGACCGGCTGACGGCTGTTGATGCAAAGACAAGTTGCGCGGATTGGAACCACAGAGAACGCACGCATTTGCAATTACAAATACGAGCGAGAAATCGACTGGCAGACAGACAGACAGACAGTCGGACGGACGGACTGACAGACCGGTTCATTATTCCAGCGGGCGACGAAGGCAGAACAGCGCACGCAGCCCGTGAGGACGCGCGGTGCGGCTGGAGCGGCTGGAGCGGCCCACGCCCGCTGCATCGCTGCAATCGCACTGTCTGGGCAATGCCGGGTTTCCAGGTTCCCGGGTTCGAGTCCCGGCGCCGGCGGGGACGCATTTGTCCCCTTCGGAGCGTGCTTCAGCGGCACACCTGGGCCCGGCCCGGCGCAGCCCGGCGCAGCCCGCTCGGCCACCCGGGACGCTATCTGTCTCTGTCATTCCCTCAGTGCCGCCACGCCGTCCTCTCTCTCTCTCTCTCGCGTGTCAAGGGCGGCGATAGGTTTGTACCCGCCGCGCGCTTAAACGGTTCCAACTATCGTCCGTGTGTTTGTTTGCGCGCGCGTGTGTGGGTGGGTGGGCAATAACACACACACTCGCACACGGCGGCACGTTGTCTGTGACGTCCGCTTCGGTCTTATCACCGGCGACGTGAGTGGAAAGAGGAACGGGAAGGGAGGGGGGCGCCAAAGGAGGGGGCCGCTGAGCCGCGAGCAGCCAGTACAGTCCCACGCCCCCCGCGGCCACCGCGAGGAGCCGCGAGGCCCGCCAAGCCCGGCCAAGCCACGAGGAGCCGCCAGCCACAGTGTGGCGGCGCGGCCCGGACCGCGGCGGACCGAGCGAGCCACCCGGACGGCCTGCACGGCGACGGCCTGCACGGCGACGGCCTGGACGGGCAACTGGACGACCCGGCGCCGCAGCCAGTCTGGCGGAGCCCCAGCGAGGTGAGCGTCAAGCCCTTGACGGCGGCCTCGGCGCCTTCAGCCTTCGGGCAGGCCGTGCCGTCACACTGCCGTGTCGGGCGGGTCTGCCTGCCACCCGGGCGGCAAGACGGCCGCGTCCTCGGCCGTGATGAGGACGGACGGAACCGGGACGCCGTCGTCGTCGCGGAGTGAGGGCGTCGCTTTCGATCTTGCTCAATCCCCGAGGCCGTCGCAAAGCCGCCCATGCCGCCCGCCGCCTGCCCGCCGGAGTTCGCCACCCCGGCCGTCGCCGCCCGTTTACGGCTTATCGTCTGTGTGCATACCCCTCCCCGTGCCCCGCCTGCCCCGCGTGACGTCACGCCGCCCCGAATCCATCCCCATAGATCCCTAGTTCCGACACTTCTGTGCCTCCTGATTACACGCCCGGCAATCTAATCCGAAATTGGTGCGATGGCATCAGCTGATTGAGTGGGGTGCCAAGTTGGGGCACTCCTCCTTCTTCTCCTTCGCGCGCCGCCGCCCCGCTTCCCTCGTTCTCGCGACGTTCCCGCGCCTTCTCCTCGTGTAATGCCGTTGTCGCCGTGAACAGCAAGGGCCCGAGCCAAAATGGAGTCAACTTTGCACTTTTCTTTTTTTTTCCGCGCATGAGATTTATTCTCTCTCGTCCCCTCTCGAGGCTGGATAATGTGACGTGGGAACGACGTAACTTGCTCGCGCCGAAAAGACAAACTTTTCATCGGTCCCACAAGCAGTAAAGGCTGCCCTTTTTTTCTGGCCTCACTTTGCGGGGTGTTTTGCCGCCTTTAGTTTTTTGCCGTGTAGATGGTTTGGAAGAGACGAGTGGGGTAATCTGGCCGTGTCACAGCACAGCGCACAGTGTGGTGGCGCGCACAGTGTGTGCGGTCAGGCCGGTCAGGCCGCGATGCCCGCATCAAGGCGCGCCCATTTTTCCGCCCGCTGGAAATGATTATTTTGTGGGGCTGCTTTTAAAAAGAATGGAAACACGGCTAGCGGGCTGCCCTGCTTTCCTCCTTTTTCAGCGCCAAATGAAACAACAAGCTGAAATATCTTTCGCTGACGTGATACAAGCGCTGGCGCGGCGTGGGGCGGCCTGGGGATGGGGGACGAGGGAGCGCCATAGTATCGCGTTACACACTTTGCATGGTGCAGTGCCATTTTATCACTCGTGGAACTTTTGCTAATAATTGGGCGAGGCGTGATGAAAACATCCTCACCCTCTCTCCGTCTCTATGCGTCATGGTCATGGAGCCGTTTTTCTTTATTTTGCGTTTCGTTTTTTGTTACTTTTGCTGGCCGCCTGCATCGTCCGCGCCGGTCCGGCCGCGCCGTCTGCCCTTCTTCCTTCCTGGCTGCTGCTTGCGGGCTTGCAGGCAGATGCGAGATACCACTACCGCGGTCACTCTGTGTGTGTGTGTGTGTGTGTGTGTGTGTGTGTGTGTGTGTGTGTGTGAGGAGAGAGAGAGAGAGAGAGAGAGAGAGAGAGAGAGAGAGAGAGAGAGAGAGAGAGAGAGAGAGAGAGAGAGAGAGAGAGACAACGGCCCCGCGGCCCTCGCCCGGCCGCCGCATGCCGCATGGGGTATGGTCAGGGAGTCAGGGAGATGCCGGCTTGGATGCCGGCACGGCCCGGCCCCTCGACGGACCCGCTGACTCGCTGCCAAGCGCGCTGCCGGCCTGCCGGCCGACTAGAGACGGGTGCAAATCACTTTGGCAAGGCCGCCCCGGCAGGCTGCACTTCGCAGGCAGGACCTTCTGTGACGCATCGCGCTTCGGTTGGCCGCCCCTGCGGCACGCCCAGACGGCCCAAACAGTGGGGCGGCGAGGGCGGCGGCGCCGCGGTCACCGCGTCGACCCGTCCCGGACCTTTCCGGAGCGTCCCGGACGTTCGCCTGGAACGTTCCACTCCGCGCCGAGCCGCCGTGCCGCCATCGCCATGGTGCCGCCGATCCGCGGAAGGAAGGTGTGCGACTGTACAGGCTGTACAGGCTGACGCACGGATGAATTGCCGCACGGGCCTCAGTGTCGGCACGAGCGCACCGTCTGTCTGTCTGTCTGTCTGTCTGTCTGTCCGTTCGTTCGTCTCTGTCCGTCTGTGTGTCGTGCGGAAACACTCCTGCGCCAAACTCTTAGTCCGCGTCGGCCCGTCGCGGAGGACGCGAAGTCCGTGTGTGTGAGTGAGTGTGGGCGTTTTGAATCGCGCCGCCGTGTGTCGTACAGGTGATCCAGGACAGGTGCAACAGCGGCTTCGCGGGGGAAGGGGAGGGGGGGGCGGTCTGCTGCGATTGGCTGATCAGACAGCCCGTGGGAAGACGCGACATTATGGCCTCTGGATAGGCTCGGCCGACCCGTGGACTCCTAAATGGGGCCACGCCAGACCGCGGCACGGCGGCAACGCGCGAGAACGTCGTGGAAATGACATGGACAACATTTGCATGGAGATTGTGTTGCTTCCGGGCGCACCTCAGGCAGGCCAAGGCGAGGGCCAGGCCGAGCGCACCGCGAGGCCCTGCTGCTCGCCGTCCAGGTGGGCGTCGGCGCCTTTCGTGGACGCGGGGACCGCGTTGTGGTGCAGGGGGCAGCCCGCGAGGAAGCTGAAGGCACCGCCAGTGATGCGCTTTTACTTGAACGTAGATTACGCGCGGCTTTAAATAACGGGCAACTCGCACAGATGAGTATAAATCTAGCCGTGTGCCGGGTTCCTAAAATTTCACGAAGAATTCTCCGTCACGAATTATATTATTCGCACACGGAGAGCGCACATTTACATTCTGACGGCGTCTGTATGCGTGTGTATGTGTGTGTTCGTGTCGGGACCAAAAAGGCAGAGGACTCCACTCGGGATGGCGCCTCGCCACGGGCACTCGTACATACAGACAGACAGGCCGACAGACAGCAGACAGACAGACAGACAGACAGACAGACAGACAGATCTTCCGCGAAATGCAGCACGTTCAGCCAATGCCAACGGAGTGGTGCGGCATCACACGCCGCTTTGCAAATGCGTTCTGTCGACAAAATGTGAGTCAGCGGCCCGAATGTGTGTTGGGCCCCTCCACCGACGCCGAACGCTCAGCGTGTCTGTGTGAGTGTGTGAGTGAGTGTCGCGCCGACCGGTACGTGACGGCCTTGGGCCTGCCGCCCCTGTAAAAAAATTTTAGTGCGTTCTCGTGCTTTTTTGGTGCGCCCGTAGGGGCATTATCGTGCAATCGAAGGGCATTCACAGTGCTTTTTAGTGCGAACATGGAGCCGCCGTAGTGCTTTCGTGCAATCATAGAGCATTCGTAAGCATTTTAGTGCGAATGAAGTGCAGTGGAAAGGCAAGCGCAGCGCATTCGTAGAGCGAATTAGCGCTAGCGTAGTGCATTCGCAGCGCGCGTAGCGCAAACGTAGTGCAGGCCGCCCAAAGGCCGCCCCCCCCGCGTCCATCAGCCGCAGGGCAGCGCCTGGAGCCAATTTCAAACTTGACCGAATACACATCACCCTACAGAATTAGATTCGTCTCAAAAAGACAAACAAAAAATGTCAACACATATCATGGGTTAAAAGGGAAAATGAAAGAATTATTGAATTTCCAATGTTTTTTTTGACCATTTTTGCACTCAAAAAAATCCAATAACTCTTTCTTTTTCCCATTTTAAGCCATGACATGTGTTGACATTTTTTTTTTGTCTTCTCGAGATGAATCTAAATCTGTAAGGCAATGTCTATTTGGTGAAGTTTAAAAAATCCCCTCATCTCAGCGAAGTTAAAACCCCTGCAACAAAGCCGCTCTTGTCAAAATATCCCACCCCAAGGTGGTCCGAGGTGAGAGATTGGGTCACGGAATCGGTTTAAACATTGTGGGCTCAACAGTTACCATTAGGACC